TCACTGTCAAGGTTCTTTCCAGGATAAAAGTCTGGCGCTCCAGGACGCAGAAGGCGCCTGGGCAATTGGACGGGCATCAAGTCTTCAGCTCTCACAGAAGCCTCCGAGGGGAGACAAAGCTCATAGTGAGAACGCTATCTGAAAAGACAATGCATTCTCAGAGGTGGCACTTCTCCTTGGAACTGGCAGCCATTTCTGTCACCACTTAGTCATTTTCCTGTTGAGCTCAGAAGGCAGCCCTCGCTCTGCCTGGAGTGACAGACGCTCGGTGAGCGGAGCCCCCGGCCCACCCCACCCAGCCGGGCCCGCTTTCGAAGCGAAGGCTGAGTGAAAGGGGCAGACGTGGAGCCAGACTATTTTGACAGGGGATTGATTTTCTCCCCTCCCCGCAGACACCTTTTTCCTGTCCTTATGTTTGGATGAATTATTCCTATTCTCAAAGGGGAACAGCAAGAACTTCTTCCCGAAGCACTGAAAACGGGTTGCTCGTCTGTGCTCGGTACTGTGATGAAGGAAAGAAAGGGGAGGGAGGTGTTGTATTCGTAAAGCTGTCTGCTATTTCAGTCCGATAGAGCATTCATTTCAGAGAGAATCCTGATCCTCTGGTTGGGAAAAACAACATAATAGACATGTTTATGAATGCAAAGCTCCCTAGTAACAGAGAACCTAGCTAAGGTTAGACAAAAGGACTAAAATCAGGGTCTCAGAGAGATATAATGTTCACTGCATTCACAGTAGCCAAGATATGAAACAATCCACCCATCTATCAACAAATGGCTAGAGTTTTAAAATGTGGTATATACATACATACACATACGCCAGGTACTGGTCTCGGTGCTTGGGTTACATTGGTGAACAATACAGACCCCACATGCCTGCCTTCCTGAAGCTCATGCTCTCCCATCAGTTCTTGGAAAAGTAGTTCGTGCTTGAACAGAATGTGCACTCTTCCTGTTTTTGGTGTCCTATATATGACCACTGAATCAGGATCGCTTTTATTACTCAAATCATGTGTATCCTTATTTTTTTTTTTTTGCCTGCTTATTATATCAGTTTCTAAGAGAGGTATGTTAAAATTTCCTGCTGTGTTTGTGGATGTCTCTCTCTTGTTTGTAATTACCACCTTAGGAGGCACATCCTTTTGAAAGACAAGAAAACTGATTCCCAAATTAAGAAATGTCTTCTCTCACAAAGATTGTAAAGAATGGACCCAGGATTCCAATTTAGTCGTCTCTATTACAACAGTGTTAATTACGTGACTGCTGTTATTTTGTTTTGTCTCACATCTTCATCTACCAACAACACACCAGTCTCTCCTTCACCTTTGGGAACGCCCTCCTCCCAGACTAACCGAATTCCTAATCAGTTTTCAGCCTCCTGGCCAGCAGTGAATGGGTCCAGGACTGGCCATCATAGCATCTTGAGCCACATAACCCAAACCAGGCCAATGAGAGTCCTTCCTCCAGAGTCAGGCCTATCTCATCTTTGCCATATTGCTTTCCCATAGGTATTTGGTTACCAGACATGTCCAAATGTATAAGGCGCTTGGCAAGCGTATGAGGTTAATTTTTGTTTAATGGCTTATCAAGGACATTTTTCTCATACATATTAATCTCAACAGATGATGTTCTGCATCTCCTGATTATTCCATCTCCACAGCTGGAACGCATAATCTTCCATTTCTTTTAGTTTAGGAAAACAAAACAAAACAGTGCTATCTGGAATTTACTGCATTGTTGTAGAAAGACTGTTTTATTTCAAAAATCATGAATCGTCATTACTTGCTAGGAACTGTCCAAGGTGGCATTGTGGACTTGGAATGGAATAAGACATAAGTCCAATCTGTAAGGACACAATGCAGCAGAAAAAGTCATGTTAAATGTGTGGAATACGGGGATTTTAGGAGCATGAGCAGTGGGGGCAGTTTACTCAGCCAAGGGGTAGAAAGTCAGGGAAGGTTTCACAGAGGAGGTGACATCTGAGTTGTGTCTTGAAGTGAAAACTGATCAAGAAAGCATATTCCAGGAAAAAGAAAAAAGCATATTCAAAGAGAAGAAACATGATGCTTTGCGTTAATATTAAATCGTCAAAGTGATTTTTAAAGTAATTTATTTATTTTTACTACTACATCCTCATTTCTTATCAACACCCTAATGTGGGTTTACAAATATGTGGCACCTATGCTGTTATTCTACCCCACCCCCACGGCGGATATTTCCAACTGAACACAGGATTCTTTCCTAAAAGAGTCTACTCAACACGAGGTTCCATGATTAATAGACATAAAGTAGAAGTAGTTAATCATTGTTAATAAAAGAATGTATCTGAAATAAAATTGCTTACCATTTCTAATTTAATTGGCGATGACGTGGGAAGGGTGGATACCAGAAGTCCTAAAATGTCACTTGGGCATTTTTAAAAGTTCCAAACCTCAGCTCACATCCTAGACTAACTGAATCCTAAACTCTGGGGGTGGTAGGAAAGGCTTCAGTATTTTCAAAACCCCCCAAGGAATTCCCAAGGTACAGACCAGTTTGAGAATGACTGCCATAGGGCCTGTTAGAAAAAGCCAAATTCATCATAGATTTAAAGGGCTGGAAAGACTGCTGAATTGCACTAGGAAGAGGATGGTATAGGGCAAGAGGGAGGCCTGTGAATCTGGACTCAGATACCCAGAGATGTGAGCTGGGTCATAAAGCTGAGCTGAAGAGCTGGCCTTCGGGCACTTTTTTTTTTTTTTTAAACCAGTTTTGATGGCCTGATGCCAAGTCTACTTAGAAACGGTCATTTTCATTTCCATTTTTTAAGAAGTGGCTAAGTACTCAAGCTTTAAAGGCAATCAGCATAACAACTGAATGAGCTTAATTTTGCTACATTCAAACTTCTTTCAAGATATTAAATTTGCATACAGGGAAAAAAGCCCAGGTACTTAAAAATCAATTAACTGATGTTATGCTGAATTAAAAAGAACATGCTTGCATAAACAGAATATTCGGTAGCACTACCATTTATGCAAAAGTCATTCTGACAACATATTGCTTATTTAATTAGAATTTGGGGTTAGAGATCGTTGAGTACAAAAACACTACTTTGAAAGCAGAGCCAGTATCGATACTATCCTAATCTTTCTGCAGAAAAAGAAAAACCTACCTTTTAATTATATCACAGTGACTCAAATTTTATTGTCTTCAACTCTTCTATTCATTCCAAATTTTAAAAAGTCTCTCTCCTGGGAGGAAAGTTAAGAGAAAAGAGTTTTCAAGACCTTTCTATACCTTAATACTCTTTTCAACTTCGAATGTAAAAATATATCTGTATTGATACAGTACTGTGAAATAAAGACCAATTTAAGGATGTAATGAAGTTTAAAAGCAGCTCCTCTTTTTCTGCATAAAGAACAATTTTATTGATTTAAATTAGAAACTTCTAATCTCTCTAAGGAGAAAGAGAAGGCAGAAGAGAAACAGGTGATCTGTGACCCCGAGCTGTGAAGCTGCTCTCCAACAGACGGAGAAGATGCAGCATTTCTGGGACCTGAAAAAGGCAGTAAGGTGGAAAATGATGTTTTAAAACCCACACATCTCATTGAATTATCTATTTCCTTCTAGACGAAGTCATTTTACAAGATAGAGTCCGATTTTAAAGGATTTCACTCTTTTCTCATCTCTAAATTGAAAAAAACAGGTCCGAGCCTAGTCTAGTTTACAGTTTCAAAATATTTAAATGATCCATAACTCACCTGTCCAGCAAACACAATACAACTAAGTTGCAGTGATGTTCTGGTTAAAAATAACCATATCTGGTCTTTGCTTCTTGCAAATTGCACTGAAGTAATGTCCCCTAAGAGACAAGAAGGGACTTTGCAACATTCACTTCCCAGTAATAGGGACCCTCTGGCCTGTCCTGGTGGGGTGAGTGCCGTCGGGAATGGGGAGCCCCCTGGAGGCCAGTCATCCAGAGCCCTTCCCCATCCAGCAGTCCTCAAGCATGGCCCCTGGACTAAGGGCATCAGCTTTACTTGTAACTGGTTAGAAAGGCAAACACTAGGGCCCCCTCCTTCTCAGTCCGTTTGGACCACTGTAACAAAATGCTACAGACTGGACGTCTATAAACAACGGAAATTTATCTCACAGTTCCGGAGGCTGGAAGTCCAAGGTCAAGGCGCTGGCCGATTCGGTGTCCGATGAGGGCCGGTTTCCTGGTTCATACACAGCACCTGTGGCTATAGCCACACCTGGTGGAAGGGGCGAGGGAGCTTTCTCGCACCTTATCAGGGCACCAATCCCTTCCATGAGGGCTAATCAGCTCCCAAATGTCCCACCTCCTAATGTAATCACCGTGGGGGTTAGAATTTCAATATATGAATTTGGGGGACACACACGCATTCAGACCAGAGCACCACGAGGCCAGCCGAATCAGAAGCGTTTGTGGTGAGGCAGCCGTCTGTTTCACCACGCTCTTCAGAAGACTCCGATGCACACCAACTCTGAGTCACTGTTAGAACATGTCATTCCCCAAAGATGTCAGAGAACAAAGGTGTCACCGGGTAAAGAAATGAATTATACAGGCATGAACTCAGCTAAACTGTCTTTCCTCCAGGCAGACACAGAAATAAAGCTGATGCTTGCATCAACCAAAAACATGGAGCTGTAACTTAGGAGATGTCATAAGACTGAACTGTGGTCTCATGCACGAGAAGCAGCTTTCAGCAACATTAGAACTATCCCCAAAATATGGCTTTACAGAATGACTGTGTCCCTTGATGTAAAGGATAAATAATGGAAGTGCCATAAAGGTAAAAAGAGTATGGGTGACCCCAACTCTTACACCAGGGAAGGGGCCTAAGCGGCTTCATGTCCCCTACTGTTAACAGCCCTTGTCCCTTACCGAGGACGGCCACCCGCCACAGCCCAGTGCACACTGTCTGGGCCACACGATGAGGCTGAACATGTTCACTGTCAAGGTGGAAATGAAAATAATAATGAAAAACACAGTCTCCATCTTTTTATGATCTTTTTTTATTTAACATACATAGTACATGTAAACAACTGGCAGAAAATTCATAAAAATACAATACTTCTATGCAATATCATTTATTCCTGATACACCCTTTCATTTTCTCCTTAATGTCATAGTCTTATTTTAACACTACGGTTTTTTCTAAGTGGAATCCTGCCCCAGCTCTGTTTCTCGCGTGCTCGCACGAGCTATTTTCACCGCCTCCTTGTCTACTTTACCTTCCTCACGCTAAAGCAAAACTATTTTTAAATGCTAAAAATGGGTAAAATACTGAGTTTTAATACTGTTTTGTCATGTATATCAAAGCTACTACTAGGCTATGCTGTCATAAGAGAGTTTCATAATCTGCAGCGCCGGCTGCTACCAGACGTGACCAAGACGGAGCCTGCAGAGCAGCGAGCTGTCCGGCTTGAAACAGAGCCGGAGCTTGCCGGAGAGTCACGTTAACAAACACTGTTACGAAAGGGGTCTTCGGAAAGAGAGCGAATTTGACTCCTTCTACCCTTTCCCAGCATATGAAACCGTTTTAAGAGTATTTTAACATTTTTTTCCTGTACAGAATTTCCAGTCATTACATGTGAACTTATTAGGAAGAAAATGATTGGAGGGTGAGAAAAACAGAGACTAACTTTAAAAGTACCATTTAAAAAACAAAAACAAAAAAACAAATTGTAACTGCCGAACTTACAAAACAGCCATATGTGGGTGAGACCCAGGTGCAGACAGAGCCCAGCACACGTCCCCTCCTGCCGCCCGGCGACCCTCACCCTCCTGGGCCCCGAGCGGCCGCTGCCCATCTGTCTGGACGGCCACCTCCTTGCTCACATTCCACTCCTAACCCCAAACTCCCGGGCTACTCCCCGTTTTCTGAAACTGGCAAAACCAAAGAAATAAAAGTCACCCAGCAGGCGAGAAAGAGGGGGCTCCCGGGGGCTCTGCCCTAAGCACGCTAGCGCCTCCCCCAGGCCGGGCCGCCCTCAGCCGCACAGAGGCAGAAAGACAAACGCTCTTCAGCGGCTCCCAGGAGCGGGCACCGAACACCGTCCCTGGGGACTTGGGTCTCAAGGACAATCCACAGTGCGGTTAATCTGCCCGTGGTTAATAAAGAGAACACTGTATAATTACATGTGCAATCTGCCGGAGGCACGGTTTGTTCAGAATTTGAAATCGTAAAATCATTTTCCAGAACTATAAGGGGTTCGCTGTTCTGAAGAATCTCATTTCACACAAATTAACTTCTAGGAAACAAAAATTCACATAAGAATTCAAAGCAGGTTTGAAGTATTTTCAAAATAAAAATAAATAGGAAGGAAAAGAATAACAAGGCAGGCTGAATATATTCATTCCTCATTCCTAATGCTTGGTTTCTGGAACCAAAACTGTAAGGCTTAAGGCTTTGTCTTATTAAAGACAGGCAATTTTAAAAGTAAAATATAAAAATGCCATTCGCTTATCATTATTCATTTACTTTTTGACAGAAAAATTAGTCTCATGTTTTATTATATCTTAATAGTAAAAGAAAAACTACCACATTCTACAGTCTACTGCTCCACTGTAAATTATGTCTACAGGACTATACATTAGTTTCTAGATGTATTACATTTGAGGTTGTTCAAAATGGTTTTTCTTAAAACTATAATTAAACATGAAAAGATTTTAAGTGGTTTAAAGGTATTAAAATATACACTTCTGAATAATACTAAAAATGAGAAAAATACACAGTCATTAAATTTTTTTAACCAAGAAAAAGTACTTGATAAGAAACTAAACAAGTAAATATCACTTATTTGACAGAGAATGCTGGGGAATGGGGAGGAGGGAGGGAAGGAGGGAGGAAGAAGGAGGGAGGGAGGGAGGGAGCGAGGGAGGGGGAGGGGCGGAGAGGGGCGGAGAGATGCTAATACCACACTCCTGGTAAGTACAAGAATTTGGTCCTGACCACTAGGTCCAAGAGTCTGGATTAATAATGGGCAGGAAATGCTTCATCAACAAGAGCAACAGAGAACAAAAGAACACAAAGAAGTGAAATAAACAGATAATTCCACACAGCAAATACCCAAGTCTGCCCCATCTACTCTTACTGAGGCTGATGGCAGGGACTGACATGAACGAGGAGCTCACAATAACCACTGAGATGTCCAAAAAAACAGGTGCAAGAGGCAGAAAAGGAGCAAGGGGCATCAATGGTCCATGAGCTGTAAAATCAGCCCCCAGAGAGTTCAGAACTGACTGCATTTTCATACCATCCCATCATGTTTTGTATACAGTTGACTGCTCATTTTCGCACAAATATTTAAGTCAAATACAAGCATATACTCATTTGCATAGCAAATTTTCAGGGGTGCACTGAAATAGTACCCAACTGATAATGGCATGTGTCTTATAATCGGAATGACAAATTGACCAACTAAAACATTTTCTATTTGAAAACAGTTTCCTATAAAAGTTTTTGGGATTTGAATTAAAAACAAGGCATGAGCTATTAGCAGAGCATTAAAACCATCACTGATGTACTTCTCCGTGGGCAGCGGTCACTCTCCGATAACCTCCAAGACTTTGTAAACGCTGTTCTGGAACACGGTGGTGAAGTGAGGCGTGGGGTCCTTCACCAGGAGGTTACATAAGGGAGGCTTCCCGGCGTTCGCAGGATCTTCCACATCCCAAATTTCAGGCATACTGCAACCCGGCCTAGGAAAACCAGCACAGGCTAAAAGTCAGTGCACAACACCTAACGGCAGCTAACGCGGGGCACAATTTTTAGACTCCTGCCCTCATTTCATTTTTCCTACTTAAACTAACTTGGCTTTTAAAACATGTTTATTTATGTTAATATAAGCTGCCATAAATCCTCTTTAGAACAGAGCAAACACAGCAAGGATGACTCTGAAGAAAGAAACAGACATACGAAATACACGAAAAAGATCTTGGTTAAATCCTGCCTGAGCTACCTACCGAGAAAGTGGGGTTAGCGTCACTCGGTCTCGCTCTCCGCATGTGTAAAATGGGAAATACCCATGACACAGTTGTGTTATGAGGAGAGACTGTGACTCGCGTCATGCACAGCACACGGCAAGAGGTCATACATTAATTTAAAAAATTACAATTGGCAAATATATTTAGTTCATACTTATGCAACTTCCCATTAACTATATTTCAGAATGAATCAATTTAAAGAAAATCCAGTAGTGTTAAGCTCATACCTTAACTAAATTCATAATTAAATCTTAGAAGCAATATATATATATTTTCTTAATTAGATCTTAGAAGCAATATATATTTTTAAAGAATAGTAGAAATAAAATTGACATTATGATATTTGGCCAAATAAGTTCTTTAATTTTTCTTTTTTTGGGGGGAGGGGCTTTTGTTTTATTGAAGATTTTTTGTTAGTATACTCCAAGATGTCAGTCTTTTAGGGCTTATGATTTTTATGATTTGTTTAAAGAATTCTTCCCTATCACAATATCGTCAAAATATTCATTGTGTGTACTCTGATGAAGTTTTAGAATCTTGCTTTTCACAATTAGACCTAGAATTCATCCGGAATTAATTTTTCTCTATGGTGTGGGGTGATTTAATTTTCATTTTTTTCCGTAGAGATAACCCAATAGCTCTAGGTCCATTTATTATTTATTAGTATTTATCAAATCCATCCTTACTCCTATGCATCAGTAAGTGATACATTACTTTCAAATCTATATTGCCGATTTTATAATCACCAATGTAATAAAAGATTCAGGAAAGAAGAAAAATTGGATGTAAGAACTATCTGGTGAAAGGCTCTCAAGAAAGAGGATAAAGAAATGGCCTCTAAGTATCGCTCCCTAGATTCCTTAAGTATGAAGGAAATCTGTCTTCGTAAAATGCAGAGAGTTGAGGGGCTCTCTGTCGAGTGCTGAAACTTAGCCTTAGCAATAACAAGACAAAGCAACGTGCATCTCCTGCAGCGCCACAAGGGAAAGCGCACGGCGCCTCCCACATAGCACGTGTGAGGATGCGCCAAACCGAATCCAACCACGAGGAGTGAATTAGGCAAAGCCATTCCTGGGATATTCTTATAAGACAACCGGCCTGGACTCTTCCAAAGATCAGTAAAAACAAAATAGGTAGAAAGGAGTTCCCAATTTCTTATTTGCTTTTTGAGAAATTTAAAAAAAAAAAAGGAAAACACAAGGAAAAATACTAGAGAACTGACAACTGCTCGTGTTTCGTCACAGTTGCTTCACTTTTTCTCTAAGAGAACAGGCCACCCCCGACGAGCCCGCCCCGCGCCCGGTGGCGGCCCCATGCCCCGCCCTCCACCGTGAGGCCGGCGCTGTGGCCAGAACGCTCGTGCTGTCTGTTTTGAGAATATCTTTGATTTAAAGGTCACTATCCAAAAAGTGTCAAAACGCAGACCTATCCAAATAAAAACATGAAAGTCACTGTCACCTCCAGGGCCGTTTCTCAGAGGGGACCTCTAAACAACCGAGCATACATTCCGCTAGCCCCTTGGGCACCCAGGCTCAGACACACGCGCGTGCAAACGCAGGCGAAGACATGTCTGTGTGTGGACGGACGCTCCTGGCTGCTTTACAGAAACGAGACTATCTGAACACTCCTCGCTGAACAATAAAATGGGGCCATTTTTCCATCTCAGTACATAAGACCTACTCCTTCTATGTATTATTTACCCATTCCTCTACGGATGAATACTTTTGTTTTCCATTTCACCATTATCGAACAACACTCACACAAACGTTTCTGTGCCTACATCTTTCTGTAGGTCAAACTTCTAGAAGCAGCACTATGGCAGTGTCAGAGGGCTACACGATGTCCACTTTGCCTCCGTCCAATTACCTCCCGCAAAGGTCTCCCCATGAGCGTTCCCATGCAGTGTGGTGCACATTTTCTGCACACCTGGCTGACACTCAATGCTACCGACACTGAACATGCGTAACTATGTTCAATTTCCCCACACACGTCAAGGCCGCACTGCTACACCAGCACAGGCCAAGGGCAGCAGAAAGTGAACCACACAGGAAGCAGGGAACCACCTCCAGCTCCTGAGGGCGATCGCTTTCAGGAAAAACGAAAGGGCGAAGCTGCCTCTGGTGGCTCTGCCTGTCCCAGAGCAACACCCTTTAGTCCTCATCTGAGTTTCTCGAAGATTCCCCTGGCCAGCCGGCTACATCTTTAAACAGCATCAGTGAAAACCTGAATAATTTTCTCCTGAATTCATGTATTTTAATTTTATGTCAACTCTATTATTGGGATTAATGAGAAAAAAAAAAAAAGCAAAGAACTGAGGAAAAAAGAGTAGTTAATTAAAAGCTCATCTACGACTTGCATTTGCGTATATTTGTATACTCATATTTGAACACAGAGTGTCAAGTATTTAAGGAATAATCAAGCCACACAATTAAACCACTTGTACACAAGATCACATAAATACAGTGTTCATCAAAGTGCTGGGCAACAGTTTAAGCACAAGATAAATATTCGCTTTCTTCTATGCAAGTTCCCCACGTGCTCCCCGCCGTTCTGACCCTTCTTCCTGTTCTAGTAACATACAGGTATCTCAGGCTGGAGAGCGAGGCCCAAAGCAATAAGCATGCCAATGCAGGCAGAAAGCTGTCTAGAAACTCAGTTTTTTCCACTGCAGATGGAGGCACTAATTATTCGTCGTCCCTCCCTTTGCTCTCCTATCTGAGTCCGCATTTGCTCCCCTGTCAGCACGGAAAGCACAGTGTGTGTTCTGTTTCAAGGTTTAAGCAGAGTGCCCCTGTCCAAGGTTGCCTGGGACTTATCATCAGTCTAGCTTAAATCTTGCAGGAGATGGACAGTGTTTTAGTTACTGAGTGGGGATAAGAGGTTAGAGAGTCACTTCCTTAGCTTTCTCTCTCTCCACTCTTGTTGGAACAAACACAACAAGGGCAAGTCAAGGTCCAGACGGGGGAGCCGGCACACCCCCCCGCCCCAAACTCTCAGAGCCCGCAGTGAACTCTAGACGGCAATGATCCGAAGCCGGTAATTCACTGCTGGTTTTGTTCAGCGTGCAGGGCTGATGGCCATGCTTCCTAAAGGCCTTTTTATCCCTTCCTGTGTACAGGAAACAGTGCCCTGCCATCAGAACACGAGACTACCGCAGTCATACAAATCCCGGACATCTTAGAACATAAAGCACCCCAGCCTCTGCGATTTCCACATGTTCATATACGATGCAAGGGTCCAGAAAAAAATGAAGAATCTTGACCCAGGGCTCATCATTAGCACTGAGGAAAAGGTCATGGAGCATTGCTTTTCTGTTCGAGTTAACCCGCAGGTGTCCCAGGCTGGCATCACCGGACGGGAGAGTGAGGGCCCAGGCGAGAAAGCAGATGACAGTGCTGGTGGACATCTGCCCAGAAACTCGGTTCTTCCTACGGCAAACGTCAGCCTGCCACTGGCTTGTTGCGATGTCCTCCCACAACCAACATGAGAGATGCTTATGACTTCTCTGTCCTAAATTTACACAACAAAGTTAACTAAAGGTGCGTATATGAATTCCGCAGATATACCCCTTTGTTCGTAAGGACTGAAAGTATTTTCTAAATTATGACTCTACGAACAATGACATTTTCTATAGATCCTGATTAAATTCAAGTCACTTGAGACATAGTCATAGAACAATCAACAATCAACAACTGTTTCCTTTTGGGCAATGCTGATACTGCATCACAGAACTATTTTTACTCCTGAGTTAATATTTAATTATTTTGTCTCAACACCCTTGTGTATCACTTAAGTACATGGTGAATGCGTGTGATTAAGGCACAGATATAGCAATCTCCCGAAGGCTTCTGTTTAGTTACAGAATAGTGAGAATTTTTAAAATAGCGTTCCAGAAAATATCCTTGATTTCAGATGAAACTGCTCATATCTGTGGCTCCTCATGGAGCAAATGCTTTGGTATTTTAATAGCAAGCTACCGTCATCTGCTGTCTAGTCACCCAGATACAACATTTCTAGTCAACTTTAGAACTCACGTTAGCTTTTAAGATCTTGCTAGCCCCTGTTGCTACTGTCTGCTTCATGAACTTCTCTGTGGAAATATTTTTTAAAGCTATAAACTCAAGAGATGGTGGGTCAGAGTGAAGTGAATTATTTTCCCACTCAACTAAGATGTGAAACAGCAAGAAAGAAGTTTCATTCTGAGTTGATGGGGGAACCGCAGGACTCAGTATGTGGCAGGGATGAGGTCTAGACACAGGAGGCCCCGCCTCTCGGTGGCCTGACTGACCTCATTACACTGAGACTTTCCATGACTTGGTCTCAGACTCTGCAAGTCTTTTGAAAGGAAATACATAAAACTTGAAATAAAAGATTTAAAAAACATCACAGGCACATATGAATAATTTGGGAAATATTCAATCTGTGCCAATATAACACCTCTAACGAAGTGACGCCTGAAAATCACTGTAAAAGAAACATATTTAGAATGACCGGAAAAGAAAAAACTCCAATTTGAGTAATTACCTAAAAAAGTTTATTCCACTTACACGTTGCTAAGTGTCACATACCTGTCACACACACGACTAGTGAAGCACGGGCCACGCAACTGAGTTAAGTCGCCACGTTACGAACGCAAAGCGTTGGCCGTGCTGGATACTCACTTGGACCTTCTTACGCACCAGGACTCTTCCAGAATGTAGTAATTCACCTGTAACTTCATCAACTCCCGCTTCACGTCTTCCGCTGCTTTTCGACTGTACATGGAGTAGACTATTTTCGTTCTGGCTCTTTCAAAAAAAATAGTTGGACAGAATTGGTCGAGATTAAAAGGACGCAGTCGGTCTTTGCGGGCGACAGTGAATGGAACTGGGGGAGGACGCTGTGGGAGAGGCACATCAAGAGGACACGTCGCGGAGTCTTGCTCGGGGCCTGGGGAGGTTGGAGGGAGGGACGGAAGGGGCGCGAGTCCTGGGAGAGGGGGTTCGGTTTCTTGCACCCCTGCATCTCCACACTCGGTCTTTTTGTCTGCTTGCTTGTTTTTGTTTTAAATTCTTCACCGCTTTACCTCAAATAAGAGTGAGGCACGCCATGTGTGCTGGGCGAGCTCCGCACAAACACAACGGGGCTGCTCCGAAGCTGCGGCAGCCCCGGCTACGATCTCAACAATGATTAGCTCTGAATGGCCCTCGGTTTGATTTCTAGATTTTTAAAAAGCTAAATTTACTCAACATAATTGCTCTGGAAATTCGCTTGCCGAAATCGATATTTATAAAATATATGTCCCACTGTTAGATACAAGAATACATTAATAGGATTCACATAGTCACTCAGGAAATTAATAATTCGTCTTACTCTAGAAATTGCATGAAAATAAATCCACTTGTTTATGAAAAAAAAGAGTAAAAAACAAAAACCAAGGTCATTCTAGCAGGTTATGTTTGTGAAAACCAGAACAAAACCCTCTTTGAATGGTATCCCATTTCTATTGATTCTCCTGAGAATTCAGGAAAAATGGCCTATAAGAAAACCTTACTAAAAACTACAGGCTACTGAATCTTTGGGGGACCCCGAAGATGGTGATAACTGCTCAGGCCCTGCGTGAGTGCAGCCCCGTTGACCCGCAGGCTGCGGATACGGCGTGATGTCGTCTTGCTCCTCGTGGAGCAGATGAGCCCAGAGGTTGTGGTTTCACTGCCCTGTGCAGGATGAACAGCTTTGTATCCGACTCGGCATCTT